GGAGAGAAGCAGGAAGAAGTCGCAGCCTCCTCGGGCTGTCACCTCTACCCCGACACCAGGACCAGCAGCCTCGAAGGCGCAGGTTACTCAGGAGACCACCAAAAAGGGCGTGGGTAGAGTACAAGAAAGGGCTCTACCTGAAGATAGAGCCCGTTCTACACATAGAGCGCGCTCTACCCAGAAGCTAAGACAGCAAGAAGACTAACGCCCGAGACCAGTGCCAACGCCTTCATATAGGAGACCACCGACTGCCGGCCTCGAAATAGCTGATGCAATCCAGCGTTTAGTTGGTATTGCCATCGAGGTCGGCACACAAGTCCTGCCCGATATTAGAGCCGGGACAGATCCAGTTACAGCGATTATGAAGGCGCTGGCAAACCTCCTGGCCAGGCATTACGGAGGAGAGTAACCTGCGCCTCATGTACTGGAACCCGGACGGAGTACAGCAGAAGCTGCATGAACTCCGCACAGTCGCCCAGCAACAGGACATACACATTATACTGCTGGGCGAAACAAAATTAAATCCTAAGACACATATAAAGCTACCAAACTACCATATTTACAGAAGGGACGAGGTCACTTCTCAAGGGGCCGCCTACAGAGGGACGGCGGTTCTAGTGAGGAGGTCTGACATCGTCCATCAAGAGCTGGAATTACCACCTTACCAGACTATGCGCTCTATCGGCATAAGAATGGAGGCGGCGGGCGAGGAACTAAGGATCTACGCAGCATACCGCCCGCCAGGGACTCCATTCTGCTCCTCAGACATCCGGACGGTGATGGAAGGCGAAACACCCACAATCATCGCCGGGGACCTGAACGCTAAACAACCGGCGTGGGGGACCAGAGTGATCACCCCGCCGGGTCTTGAACTATATGATGATGCAGAGAAGAACTTGTACGACGTTTTAGGTCCCGAGGAACCAACACACGTTCCTACTGACCCACGGAGGCATCCGGATGTATTAGACATCGTGCTCACTAGGAACGTCAACTACCCGATAGTGGTAGAAGTGCTGTACGACCTTCCCTCACAGCACCTCCCGTTAATGATAACCCTTGGCCTAAAGGCGATGACTACGCCGCCCAGAGCGTTTAAAACCCGTGTCGACTGGAGGCTCTACTGTCAACATCTTCAGCAGAGACCTCCAGCACATCAGCCGATAAGCACAGCGGACGAGTAGAGGCCGCTGCTACTAGAATAACCAAGAACATCAAGGAGGCCCTCCACGCGGCCTCTACGATCGTCCCGATTACAGCAAGGCGAGACGATCTGCCGCGTGAGATAAGCGTGCAGATCAAGCGCAAAAGAGCGCTAAGAAAGCACTGGGCGCGTACTCGCTGTCCCAGATTAAAGACCCAGCTAAACACCTTATCGGAGGAACTGTCGGTTGCAGTCCAGGCCTTCAGAGGGGAGGCTTGGGATCGGCGCATCCGGAAGGCGGATGAGTATGATGCGTCGCTCTACAAACTGAACCGGCAGTTGACCAAAACCAAACCTCCCGTTTGCCCGCTGACCAACAACGCGGGCAAACGCTGCTATGATGCCAAGGGCAGAGCGGATATCCTAGTCGAGCACTTCGAGGAGCAATTTATGCCGAACTCAGCAAGTGCGGAGTTCATGGAGCTTCATGCCCGGAAGGAAAGTCGCGTACAGGAGTTCCTGTCGTCGCCCGCGCCGCCTCTTGCAGGAGAGTGGTTCATCTCCCCCGCTGAACTGCGGAGGACAGTAACCCGCCTGCAACCGAGGAAGGCGCCGGGGCACGATGGGATTACCAACGCTGCACTCCGACAGCTGCCCAATGGAGTCCTAGTAGAGCTTGGTCGACTCTACAATGGGATATTGCGGACATCCCACTTCCCGGAGGACTGGAAAAAAGGCAAAGTGATAGTCTTGCCGAAACCCGGGAAGGACAGGCGTAGAGCTGCCATCTACAGGCCGATCACGCTGTTACCGCACATAGCTAATCTGTTTGAAAGATTGCTGCTGAGACGTCTCCGTCCGTGCATCCAACTTCGGGCGGAGCAGCACGGATTCAGGAGGGGTCACTCCACAGTTACATAACTGACTAGAGTGCTGCACCTGCTTGCGGCTGAGTACAATCGTGGCCGCATATCGTTGGGCGTCTTTCTCGATATCGAGAAGGCGTTCGACCGGGTGTGGCACATAGGATTACTATATAAGCTGAATAAACAGACCAGTGTTCCTCTTGCTATGTTGCGGCTAATGGCGTCTTTCCTGGAAGACAGGAAGTTCTACGTCTGCGTAGAGGACGCCGAGTCCGCAACCAAATCCATCAGAGCCGGCGTTCCACAGGGCAGCTGTTTGTCTCCAGTCCTGTACGCGGCTTACACCAACGATATACCTACACTGGCAGGCTGGCTTCAAGAGTGGGAGGACGACGTTGAGCTGGCGCTATATGCGGACGATAGCGCCTATTTCACCTCGTCCAGAAGAGCTCACATAGCCACTGCCAAGATGCAGCGTCTGCTGGACCTGCTGCCACCATGGCTGGATGAGTGGAGGATGGTCGTCAACGTTGGTAAGACGACCGCTCTGCTCATTCGCCGTCTCAGGAAATTTCCACCTCCGTTGACCCTCAACGGCCAGAAGATTGCGTACCAGAAGGTCGTAACCTACCTTGGGTGCAGGATCGACAGGACGCTGCGCATGACCGCGCACGTCGACTTCGTCGTCCGCAGGGCCCGATGTGCGCGCGCGACGCTCTTGCCGGTCCTGGCATCCAAGCTGCCGATAAGAACCAAGCTCCGGTACAAGTTATTCCGGACCATCATCACCTACGCTGCTCCGGCCTGGTACGCACTTCTGAGCGACCCTCTGAGGCGGCGACTGCAGGCCCAGCAGAATCTGACATTAAGGACGATCGTCGGAGCAGGTCTCTACGTCCGGAATGACGTAATAGCGGCCGATCTGAAAGTCGAGACCATCACCGACTTCGTGGCCCGGCTAGCGCGCGGCATGTTCGACCGTGCCGACAACGGGCCACATGAACACCTCAACGGCTTTGCGCCGTTGCACACTCGGCCACCGGACGGGCGACCTCTTCCAAGAGAACTCCTCTCTATATGTGATTAGAGAGTTGAGTAACAACCCACAATGCCGCTGAAAGGCCAACCCAGACTTTATCAGATAACCTCCTTTTCCGTAGTCGAATAACTACGAAAAAATATTTTTTACCATCACGGAAAAATCCGTCTAATTCTATCTAGCCTAGAATAGGCTACAAGGACTGTCCCATAGCTATGGGACATGAGGAATACCCGGGCAATGGGGGCTACCCCAAGGCCCGATACCTGCATGGCACCTCGGTGCATGTAGACGACAACACGGATGCTGTAATGTACTCGGAACGTTGGTAATTTAAAACAAGATAATATACGCGATAAAATCCGTAAAACTTAGTTTTATTTACTTTCTAATATTTTTCACAGTCGTTTTTTACGACACGACGTGTGAGATAGATTTTTTACACCGACTACGGCTCAACGATTTCGTAAGCATGTTACTTCTAATGGTGACAAAAGTGGATGCAGTTTAAAAAATCTCTATGGAACCATTGCAAAGTTTTAACTTTTCTTTAATTACTTAAATGACGAAAGCTAGATCCTCGTTCAAAAATTCGAAGCCTTCTGACAAAGGGCGTCGACGACTCTCTCTCTAAAAAAGTTTAATTGTGTCAAGTGAAATTCTCCCAGATTTAATTGGCCACGGAACAATGGCGCTGTTGCTCGCACACATGAACTGCCAATGCAGCCGACACACTGGCAGCCGTCGAAACATGAAACTTGCATAATGTTAATTGTGTGTTCAAGTGAAAAGTATATGATGTGTGCGTTAGTTAAGTATATTAAGGTTTTGCGCAACCTCTTTTGTTATGTGCGTGGGATCGATTCAGAACACGCCTGTTGGAAAGTTTGGTGTAATTTTTGTTGTTCTCATCATCAGAAGTATCATCTCTCATTGCTGGTGCGTCATCGAGACTATAATATTTATTTATTTTATTTAAAACTTAAACTGGCGGCTTAATGCCTTGAGGCACTCTCTACCAGTCAATCACGAGCTAAGCAAAGAAACTTAAGCAGGTGCCATTAAAACATACAAATGTGTATACTGTATACTTAAAACATACTTAACATACATTATATAAATTCTCTAATAAATCATCAATCGTCATAATATCACTGCTTCCGTAAAAATGTCAGCTTGGCAAATAGATATTTGCAACAAATAATTATGCCTGTAGCAATTTTTACGTGGTAGATCCATGCTGCAGCTATATTATGGTTGCAGCACGAATGGGTCGGCTCGACCGGGGAAGGACCACCTTCGTATGGTGAGTGTAGAGAACCGGAGACCCTTCTTAGACGTTTTAGACGTTCCATCTCAATCCTCAGGGTGAAAACGTATCTGCATTTTGATTCTTAATTGCAGATAAATGTAGATGTGTTTTGGCCACAGCATCCACTTCCCATCAGGTGGACTGTGTGCTCGTTTGTCACCCCCATACTATAAAAATGTATATTAGCCCCTCCCCTCCCCCCTTAATGAAGCGTTCAATGATGGAGGTTTATTTCAGTAGGGGACTTTTGATAGTTTGTGATGTTAAAAGAAATAGAAATACTTATTCAAAGTCACTCTTATGCTTAATTTACCACTCGTATGGAATATATCTCTGTCGGGGAAAAACCAGCAAAAAATAACAATTTACAATTATAAAATTTTATAAAATAATTAAAAACACAAAAGAAATTATAAAAAACATGCTAGCGCATAGCGATCACCTCATTCCCAGGGGTTATTATCATCCATAAATATCTGTAATAGATAACTTCATCACAGTGATTAATGAATGAAGAAATTTTACGTCTAATGTAGAAACTAGCACCTTATTTAAAATAAGAATTCTCTAGTGGGTTCTGTGGCCTTTAGACATCTAGGTGGTAATGTATAGTTGATAATTGTAACATAAAAATACAAGTTGCTTCAACAAACACTGCCGCCGAGCGCCGGTGTGCCGGTGCGCCGCTGCGCTGTAGACAACGATAAGATAAGCAGGTAGGTTATTCACTTAAATTTTTACACAAGTAACTATTTCTTTTTGATATTTCTGTTAATTCTGCGATATAAAAAAACTGGATCGAATACATGATACAAGGGTGAAAAATATGATATTTTTATAGAAGTAAGGGTGACCACACGAGCACGTAGGCCAACTAGTAAGTTAGTTAGCCCATATATATTTATTCTCTATCAAAAAATAAGAAGCATATGCGTCATCACCTCTGAGGACTAAGATCAATACTGCACTGATTAAGGGCAGTCGGTCAAAAAATAATGAAAATATAAATTAATACAATGTTCATGCGAGTGGTACCAAAATATTTAAACCACGACCTATATTCTTATAATGAGACTTCCATGTACTCGAGTAAATAGAGTAGTCTATATATGTCCGACAACAGCGAGTGAAGTGAATCCGCACACGGGTCGCCGACTGGCAGGGCCTGAGTCAGCCGCGGTTTCACCTTCGCGACGTGTTACTTTTAATTTGAAGCGACGCGACGCGGCGTAGAACACACTACTTGAACAAATATTAAGCAAACGTACTTACATCTGTTTATTTGTACAGATATACGTATGTGGCCGTGAAAGGAAAAGGGGAGATCTCCCGCCGGGCAAGGAGTTCTGCCCGGGGAGCGGCCAATACTCCGTGTGATAGTTCGGAGATGTTCTATATATGCTGTTTATGATTCGGAATGTTGATAGCGTGATTTAGGCTTCGGTATGATTCGCTTGCGGCGTGACGACAGCGCCGCCACACGTATATTTCAAGTAGCAAGGCTTCAATGTAAATGTAATTAAATGATTAACATGTCTAAAACTACGTAAAATAATTTGCAAGAAGACTGCTTATCCTATTTATTTTATTTGTTTACACTTTATTGCACTTGAAAAGATTACAAAGGGCGGAATTAAGGCCTGACAGCATCGTCTTCCGGTGGACCCGCGGGACGTGTGGAGGTTATGTGATAGGTGACGAAATAAAATGAACAATACAGCTAATTAGGAAAAAACTACTCATAATTTTAAAAATAGACTAATATTGTATATATTAACATAAATACAATAAACTTATATATTACGAAATTTGATACAGACACTTAATATATATTTTTACATATACAAACATACATGTAAATTCAAAACTGCCTAGATTGGATGCTGTACGAGACATATTTTATACGTGGTAGAGCCATTCTGCAATTATATTTGTAGTATAGTTGTAGCACGAATGGGTCGGCTCGATCGGGGAAGGACCACGCTCTCACACAATACCAGCGTAAAATAGTAGCTTAATGCTGCTGTGTTTCAGATGGTGAGTGTAGAGAATCGGAAACCCTTTTTACTGGAAACTAGGTATTCCATCTTAGTCCTCATGGGTGACAACGCATCTGCGTTTTGATTCGTAATCGAGGATAGATGTCTATGGGCCACAGCAACCACTTACCATCAGGTGAACTGTGTGCTCGTTTGTGACCCTATCGTATAAAAAAAGTTCCAGGGCAGTGTAGCCTGAATGCAAACTGAATGGATTTACCAACTACATAAGTAAAATATTGTGGGATACTTAGTTTATTATTATACGAGGAACGCAGAGTTCCATCATGCGTTGAGGAAATATACTAAAAGTCTCTGAAATAAGCAGGAGTGGATGGATCAGGTAGGATAGAGATGAGAACAAGTAAAATTATTGAGTCACGCCTGTGTTTAATAGTGAGCCTTTTAAGGCGACAGCGATACTGAGAGATGTGATCATATTTACGAAGACTGAAAATGTATCTGATGCATTGTTGAGAAGGCGCTCTAACTCGTTAAGAAGATTTTGGTTTAAATCCGGGTAACACAGGAAAAATCATCCGATTTCGATGATTTTTAAATCTTTATATTGGTTTCAAGGCTTTAAATGATCATGAAAATGCACTCATTCACGTATAATTACTGATAACTTTTTTTAAAATCATAGAATGAAATTTTTATATTTCTTTTCCTAATCTACACAAAAACAAATATTTTAAAAGAAAAAAAAAAAGAAAAATGTGTGTTTATAAACTTTTTATTTTGGTTTTTATTGAGTGTAAGATCGAGCGCTGCGAGCTCGGGACTTAGGGCATCCCAACTCGGACAGGTTACGTTGGAAGGAGATGGCGGGATCGAATAAGCGAGCGAAGACAGCGAGTAGACACCGTCATCTCGTTCGTGGTTATTGTTTTATAAATCACTCAGAAGTAGGAGCCCCGTAAAGTGCCGTCGACCGGACTTCCCCCGACTGCGCTACGGGAGAGAGTTTGGGGAGGGAAGCACCACGCCACTCAACGGAACCTACTTCTGAGTGTTTTATAAATAATCATGAAGGGGATGGCGGGGTCTATTCGCTCGCTTCGCTCGTTCACTCGACCCCGCTATTTCCTTCTAATCTAACCTGCCCGAGTCGGGATGCCCTAAGTACTGAGCTCGCTTCGCTAAAAAATTAATAAATAAAAACTATTATGTGATTTATATTTTTCAAAAAATTTTTTTTAATACTTTTTAAATTTTGATTAAGATATAGCAATCACTGTCAAGGATTGCATAATTTTTTTTTATTTTATTACAAGAGTTTTTTAAAGAAAATATAAGTTGTTGATTTATTTTTGATAATACATAGTTAATTCTTTTCATTTTGGTCTTTTCCGTAAAAATGAAGATTAAAAAAAAACTCATCGAAATCGGATGATTTTCGATTTTCTAGAGCTTTTATGATAAAATTTAAAGTCATAAAACTATATGTAATCTTGAGGTCAGATATTTTCCATATTTTTTCTATAAATCCGCCGTAAAGATGAAGATTTAAAGAAAAATTTCATCGAAAACGGATGATTTTTCGATTGTTTAGAGCCAAAAAACGAGGTGACCGCGATAGTATAAAATTACCGGTAGACATTCTTAGACCGAATCTGTAAACAGAACTACAAATGCCTTGGAAAAATTAAGGTAGTCATTACTTAAGGCTAACAGCACCTCACGGACATAACGCAAGGTCTCCCGCGATAGTGTTAGCTGCTTGGTGAAAGTTGCACTTAACAATGCTTTAAACGTTTGAACGTTAACATCAAAGAGAATTTAATCACTACATTTAGTTAACATCAATTAGGTTTTTGTTAATCTTTCCGCTTCAGAGAGTTTAGATTTCTTGCCGAAATATCTCTTCATTTTATACGTTTCCAAAAATATCGTCCTACTTAGTAACCTAGGTTGAACAAAGACTAGTCAAACTACTTCCTCCTTTTGTTGAAAATAGACGACCGCTCAATATTTGTTCCGTCTGCGGTAGGCGATGAAAGTATTGTCAGTTGTGAAAATAAATGTAATGCAGACCGCTTCGGTCGCCGGACGTTGGAATGGTGCGAACTTGCTTCAATGACTGTGATGTGTAACAAGTTACGAGGTTGTTCCCGGGATTAAAATACAAATATAATTAGATAATAAATATTTTTATTTAGACAAGCTTTACATAATGTAATTACAGAAGATAAACGCGACCTATGCATAAGATAAATGCGTTATTAGACTCATTTTTAAAAAGTTGTATGTCCAGTGGTTGGTCCTAGTCCGAGAAACCAAGAATCGCAAAACCATTACAACTACTACGTTGTTGGGCTCATTTATCTCTTCTGTCTGAAGGCTAACCTTCAATGCAAACACGACAGAAGAGAGAGAGAAAAGAACAGAGAGAGAAAAGAACAGGGAGAGTGAGAGCGAGTTTTTTTGAAGTTGTCTGCAGATCCATTGACTGTAGAAGTCGTTAGTCGCCAGGTGGACTGTAGTCTCGTTTGTCGTTAATAATGCATTGGACTTGGTTGAACTGAAAGAGCGCGCACCTCTGTGTAAGCGCAGACAATGCGAGTATTATAACATATACTGTACATTGAAAAAAAAATACTTTTATGGATTTTATCGCGTTCAATTCAATTTTTTTTAATTCCACAAGTTTACAGCACACATGGTCACGGGGGGACTGAGATGGCTTGACCTCCCGAACTTTCAGATCATTACTTTCGGATCATAACTTACTGATCTTGAAGTCTTGCAGTGTTATGCTTGTGTTTATATTAGTTTAAATTTTATTAATTCTCACGCAGATAGTAGTAGGTACCCAGCCTCTTCTATTGAAATTAGAATGTTTTTTAATTTCAATGGCCTCACGTATCATCCTTGGTAGGAATCGATGTTTTTTTCGCGACGGTTTGTGTGTATCAAATGTGATGTAATGCCGGGGGGCCATCTTGGATATTATCACAAACTTCAGACTTCTCGAAGCGTTGGTGTTTTACGTCAGCTATAATATATTCCTTTACGCGAATTTTTAAAGATCTTTTTGTTTAAAATATATAAGGGTGACCAGATGTATATACGGGTATATAACGAGGGCTATAGAGGTGGCAAGAACTGACTACTCTTCGAAAATTAAATATTTATAAGTAAAATTACACGCAATAAAATCCCTAAAAATAATTTTTATAATGGTGTAATGTTGAAATTAATAAAAGAAACCATTGTTCTGCAGAGAGTCGCATCTTTCATTATGAAGGAGGGTTTCGTTATCATTCATCATCATCATCATTATCATTACAGTCCTTCACAAGTCCACTGCTGTACGTATGACTCCCCTAAAGAATGTCCCTCCATTTAGTGTGGGGCCGCCCTACACTTCGCCTACATGTAAGTACGAGGCTGCCACTCGAGAAACTTTCTTCCTCATTCGTACAAATGAGATAATTAATTGAGACTAAATCGTGTCAAATAAATTTACCCAACTTGACTTGACTTTCATCTCTAAACAAATTATTCCAAAGACTTAAATGCAGTATAGCTGGGTGTTGTTTGTTGCAGGAAACGGACTGTGTCGCCGAGCACGATCCTGAAGCGCGAGCAGAAGTGGCTGCGCATGCTCAACAACTGGGAGGCCTTCATGAGCAAGAACTACAGGAAGGTGCGCGAGCGCTGTAGGAAAGGTGCGCTTTCAACGTGCTGGACACTGCTTTTTTATATAGAATAAGTGAGTCAAACAAGCACGCAGATGCGTTGTTCCTTGAGGGTTAAGATGGAATCCTACGGTTCCAGTAAAAAGGAGTCTCCAGTTCTTTACAGTCACCATACGAAACACAACAGCATTGAGCTTCTAATCCACGCTGGTGTTCTGTGAGAATTTTGTCCTTCCCGGTCAAGCCGATCCATTCGTACTACAGCCATAATATAGCGATTTGCAGTATAATATATACAACACCATTCAACGGACGCCTAGTATAATGAAAAAACAAGTACAGTAATAGTTTACATGTGTAGTGGTGTTTCTTATGACAGCAACGACAGTAACTGACGCATAAATAATTTTATTTCGGCTGCTTCGTGGCGCAGTGGTTAAGTAGTGAGCTACGGCGCTAAGGATTCGAATCCTACAAATAATTGTTCCGTGTCTGGATGTTTGTCGTGTTGATGTTTGTCACGATACAGAAGAAAATGTTAGTGTGGGGGTCACAAAAGAAATGCGTGGCTTATAGAATGTCCTATAAGATGCTCGCGCCAGCTTATGTTGGTGGAGCGGTCCGCATCAACAAGTGACTCGCACGGGCACTGTATGGAGCGGCGCGGAGCGGTGCGGCGAGTTAGTTGCCCCACAACGGGACCTTCGTTTTGAGGGCTACGTACTCACAGGTCGTTTAAACATTTCATAAAAAATATTTTAGCTACTCTGTTGTTCTGCACTATTGTTGATATAATAGTCGAATTTTAAAATAGAATCACGGTGAGAAACAAGCCCACAGTCCACCTGCTGGTAAGTGGATGCTGTGGCCCACAGAAATCTACATCTATCCTCTAAATTTTTTAAAATTATATAATATTCTGGACACTGATGAACTTTTATTTCTAACGCAACTTCTTAATTATCCAATACCTTTAAACGAGCAATTATTGTATATATATATATATATATATATATATATATATATATATATATATATATATATATATATATATATAATCGGAATCTCGGAAACGGCTCCACCGATTTTCATGAAATTTTGTATTCAGGGGGCTTCGAAGGCAATAAATCGATCTAGCTACGACTCATTTTATTCAGGTTTTTAGACAATGAAAAACTGGTATAATATCATTAGAATCCGAAAGAATATTTGTCGAAAAAGGTTATAACAGCTCAAATGAGATATCGCCCGGTGCTGAAATCATAGAATGCCGGTTCGAGTCCAAACGTCTCCGGTCTGACTCTTTTTTCCTTTATTTTCAAGTTCCTTCTTTTGTGAGAAAATATATTATTTGGAGCCCTTTTTTAAGTATATTTTTTTAAACACGAAAAATAATGATCGAGAAGGTCGAAATCATATTTGATTATTACGTAATTTTTATCTAAATATAATTTACAAAAAACACGATTTCCAAAAAAAAAAAATAGCTAGCAAAGCTCGGTCATCCTAGTAGTATGGCATTGTGTGACAAAAACCTTCACCTTAGTTTTCAAATTACGACAACATTACAGCCTATAACAATCCTCTGCTGCACGTGGGCCTCCTGCACGGTGCCTCACAGGCGGCATTTCGCCACAGTTGCCACGCTTAGCGGGTGGGTTGGTAGCCGCAATCGTTTTAATCCGTTGAGTTGTTGTCAGGAAGATGTTGCTGCTCATCCCACGCTTCCGGTTCTGTCTGTCGTCCCTTGCGACCGATAGTGGATATCCTTACACCGCCTCCTCACGTCCTCGAAGAAACTGAAGATTATTAGCGCTGATTGTCGTGACCGTGAGCATCCGTGGTCCACAGGCATCCCGGCGTCGGTGCGTCCGAAGGCGTGGCTGTACCTGTGCGGGGGGCAACTGCTGCTGGAGAAGCATCCGCACGAGTACGAGGAGCTGCTGCGAGCGCCCGGAGACCCCAAGTGCATGGACGACATCCGCAAGGACCTCCACCGCCAGTTCCCCTACCACGAGATGTTCATACGGGAGGAGGGCTTGGGGTGAGTTTTTTTATAGGAAAAGGATGACAAAGTTCACACATCCGCAACCTTCTTCGTCAAGTTGGCTGCATTGCCGCTTGCTCGTTGCCAGCAGGTGTACTCTGCTTGCGACTGGCAAGTTCGTTGGTCACTTCAGTTCTATTAAAGATGTTTTTATTATATTTTTAAACAATTCGTCGGTTTGTGTGTTTGTGTAGGTTTGTATGTGTAGATTCTATTATATCGCTCGATTACGATGCTCAGAGAGGCATGACTCAGCGTTAGGTCATCTCTATTGTATCTGGTTAAATGAGTTACGATTCGCTAATTAAAATAGGCCGTTACCGTTGGAGGCAAATATCGTAAAAAACGAAGAAAGGAGGCAGTGAAACCAGACTAGCTGGAAATAACAATTAAGGTCATTGCAATAATTTTAAAATTCTAAACTATATGTCAATGGTTACAAAACGAAATTATTTCTTACCGAAGAGTATCTCTGACCGATATCTTATTTTCTAAAGACACCTGAGGGTTCTGTCTTATTATATTACTTCATATTAAGAATACATTTTTAGAAATCAGTTATCTGTCGCGAAAACCTACAATAATAATAAACTGATGAACCGGGGACAGTCAGGGATATTTTTGGTCGACATAATCATTCCGTATGGCGAGAACCTCGTGAAAGCCGAAACAGATAAGAAAATAAAACATCTGGACCTGGCTCACGAGGTGACCGATATATGGATTGGTCTACCGATCGAAATTATTTTTGTAGTCGTCTCCGCGCACGGACTAACCCCGGTCAACCTCTTGGGTCATCTGAGGCAACTGGGATTCCGTGACGAACTGCTCTGATTTCAAATGCAGAAGGCGGTGCTCCTCGGTACCGGCCGCACAGTCCGCCGCGCCGGTGTAATGTGGGAAGGTATTATAGGGAAGAGAAGAGGCTGGTTGTGGAAGGTGTTATTAGGTTGCATGGAAAAGATCACTATAATAGGTATATTGAATGACCTTTTTTACCGTCTGGAAAAAATATGATGTAAGTGAACGGAGTAGAAGCCTATGGCACTGATAATTTACAAAAAATAAAAACAAAAATTTAGAATTAAACGTTTGAAATTTTTTTTGAACATTTATTTTGCCCTTTGCCCTTGAGCCTTAATTTATTGTTTTATTGCTGTTTGTAAAGTAGGAGGGTAGATATGACTTGAATTTCGATAATTTTAATTAATTTATTTAATTTAAAATTTTTGTTTTTATTTTTTGTAAATTATCAGTGCCATACTCCGTTTATATGTTACACCGTATTGTTTCTAGACGGTAAAAAAGCTCATGCAGTGTATAGTTGTACAATAGAGCTCATCCTAAAACCTTACGACCTTATCTAAAAGTGATGTTTTCCATGCAACTTTTCTAAATAATAAAATAAAAACTATGAACCACAAATATTTCTCCCTCGTGCTTAAATAAATATCGTACATACAATATACTATATAATATTTTAATAAACCAATACATGGTACATATATCTAAAACTTTATGAATCATACAAAACCTATATAGGTTTTATATGATTCATAAAGTTTTATCAATCAAATAGTTACGGGATCTTTATTTTAAACCAAACATAACATGGATAGAAATTTTTGTTGCATTAGCAGAGAAGCTCACAGAACAGGAAATTTCTGTTTTACTTTACGAACTAATGTACAGTTTTTACTTAGTGGAACTGGTGGATATTTTTTGTGTATTACCGATATTTCTTAAAGGCGTGAGGATAAATGTTTTGTGGTTGGATGGAATGCTTCTAGACACGGTATCTGAACATAAAATTACGCTGTTCGACTCTGAGGAAACTTACATTTTAGTCAATGCCATTCTTTTCACTAAACCTCATACTAAACTAATATAGTCAAGTGAACTACGTAACAAGGCTGCGTAACGCCGCGCTGTTGCGTTCTTATTTAATTTGTAATACTTTTAAACCAGACCTTGTGTATAAGTGAGTAGGAACCTTACTACATACATAATGTGAATATCGGTGATCACTAGTGATCGGCGTAGGTAGTGCTCTTCTCAGAATTTGGTGATCGTTATCTTAACATGTATTTGCCCTCTGAATCTCGTGATTATATTATATATTTATTTTATTAAATCGATCTTTTTATTGAGAACTATTTCTGGAATTCGTATTTTACATACCTATTCAGCTTTATGCACATATTTTAATGGTCACTAAAGTCATCCCTTACCCTTGCGCTTTTGTAGCTCATCAATCATCAATATAATCTAGTAAAGGAATATTTATAACTTGTTCGACATTCTACATTAGTTTAACTTTCCACCTCTGTAGAATAAAAGCTGGCTCATCGTGGACAAGTTCGTGTATTGAAATCAAGAAGCAGACTTAAAATTACGCGTGCAGCACAAAATAGCAAGGTGATTGTTTTACGCCGAATCTAGAAAGTCTATATATGTCACACTTAGGACAAAATATATTTTTGTCTAGAAGTTGTTTTGATTTTATCTTTATTATTTAATCATCTTCATATTTTACGAATTATTATTAATATATATTTACCTTACATATGAAATAGACGTTTTGTGGTACTGACTACTTTGATCCGAAATATCTACACTGTGGTTAAGAATTCCAAATTCAAATTTATAAATTCATTTAGATGGTACATTTGAGTTTTGAAAACAATTTGCTTTTTCCTCATTATTTTTTTCTTTGGCGTCGCTTATTACCGCACAATGGAAAACATGAAATATCGGTATATTTACGAGTACGAGTTCTACCGTGGCACCAGTGCTGCAGAAACAGATGTGTACGGCGCTTGTGTCGCAAAAGAAGGCATGTTACGTTTTTGGTTTCAACGTTTTCGTTCTGAAAATTTCGACCTTCAGAACCAACCCCGTAGACGGCCGGAGACAAAAGTGCAAAATGAAGAATTAAAGGCTATTATGGAAGCGGATCCATCACAAAGCACTTCAGAGATAGCCGCAGACTTCGGGGTAAGTGATAAAACTGTATTAATACAATTGAAGCAAATCGGGAAAGTAAAAAAACTTGAACGATGGGTAACTTATGAATTGAGTGAATCGAACTTGCAAACACGCGTCGACTGCTGTGTTACTTTGCTCAACCGACACAAATATCAAGGGATTTTAAATCGAATCATTACTTGTGATGAAAAGTGGATACAGTACTATAATCGGAAGCGCACGTCGCAATGGCTGAACTCTGGAGACCCAGCCAAATCGTGCCCTAAACGAAAATTGACTCAGAAAAAGTTACTTGTGAGTGTTTGGTGGACTAGCGCCGGTGTCGTTCACTACGTTTCTTTACAGCTTTCTAAAATCTGGCCGAACGATTATGTCAGATATCTATTGTCAGCAACTGCAAGCCATGAAGGAACAACTAGCTGCTAAACAACCGCTCTAGGCCACTGCTGCTTCGCGACGACGCAAGACCACACGCTGCACAACAAACAATAAGTTAGATTGAGCTACGGTTGGAATGTCTGCGACGTCCACCGTACTTCCCGGACCTTGTTCCAACAGATTACCATTTTTTCCGAAATTTGGACAACTTTTTACAAGGAAAAAAATTCAACTCCGATGCAGCAGTCCAAATGGCCTTCAAAGAGCTTATTGATTCTCGTCCCCATGGTTTTTTTTAGTAAAGGGATAAATGAGCTACCTATGAGATAGCAAAAGTGCATAGATAACAACGGTGCATACGTTGATTAATTAAATATATTTTACAAAAAAAAAATTTGACTTTACCTATTATAATAAAAATGGTGCTGGTATCTTAATGGATATAATAAGAAGATTCAACTTTTATACAATTTGTTTGTTGCCATTTTTTTTTTGAACAAAAATGGTATTTTTCCCAAAAAAGATGCAAAAATATAGTACTTTTCTAGAAATTCAGGAGAGAAAAAAGGACACATTTATTTCCAATATTATAAATTTTTCCATATATATTTGTTATTGCTCTTTACTTTGAACATCAACGATCTTATTACCTTTAAAATAGGTAGGATAGGCAATCTGAGCAATTTAGATTCATATTGAAAAAAAAATTATAAAATTAATACATGCTCTGTTTCTTTATTCTTTCAATTTTACATTCATGACGGAAAAATTCTTTCCTTAAAACTTATTTTTTCCTGACTTCCTATTACAGTTAATAAAAAATAGCGCGACAATTGATTTAGGGATAAAAATATAGTATTTTTCGTACTATATTCTTTTTCTACAATATATAGTACAATTGACTGAAATATAGTACGATACTATATATTATAGTACGGGTGGCGTCCCTATGTACTACAGACAAGGTGATTTCTTACGATTTTTACCATAAGAATTTGTTTCACATTGATGATCATTGAAGTCATTGTAGTTGTACCATAGTAAAAACAAAATAGTAGGATGACCCCCGTGCAGTGCGAGACTTAATTGCCTACTGGTACAGAGTAGTCATTGCCTTTTTCTTTAACAGCTAAGTCTCATTTAATTGTATAAGTAGTTATAATATTTACAAATATAATGCATACGGATACGTACCTATGCATCTTATTTGTTAGTCATTTCTTTAGTTTCCTCTCAAAGAATCAATGTTTGTAAAGAAATCCAGCTTTATATTATAAAATATCCAAATAACTAAAATACGAGTAAATTAACACTGAGCATATGATGTCAGCTCAGATGTAATGTTTAAAATTAATTTGATCTGATGTGATATGATAATTAATGTACTTATGAGGTATGTATCTATGTATAGATATAGTAATATAACCTATTAATAAAAAGCTATTTACTTAAAACAAATGTTTATATTAATGTATTTAGCAAAAAGAGAAAATAAAACGAAAAAAGACTGCTCGAAAATTTTTATTATAAGTCAACAAAGTTTCAAAGGTGATTGCGGAGCGCGGCGGTGGCCGTCCCCGACTCGGCCCCATCTTCCCAACTTAGCAAGTGTCATTGTGTGCGTGCCGTGG